AATGCTGTCTTCTTTATTCATCTTTGATTTCCTTGCGTTGAGGGAGCACTTGAGTGGAGACCCAATGTCCATCTGCTACCTTAATACTAAATCTATTCATATATGCACATGGAGTATTTCCTCTTTGCCCATACCATAATTAAAACACAAAATCAGTTCTTCCGTCTTCCTTATTTAGTGTCCAACTTTGACATGCGTGTGAGGCGACTGATGCTTTCTCTTAGTGGCCCTACATGGAATAGCAGGAAGCCCTGCCTCATCTCAACTGTTACGACTGGGTTCGTTGTTGCAGCCACTGAATCAATCTGTCTTGTGGAGGGTCATTTTTTTCGATGACTTTCCTAAGTATGATGTCCTTTCCCAGAGTCTGGTGTCTCTGACAAGTTGTCCTAGGTATTAGTATCTTATTACTATCTGTGTTTCAAAAGGAGCATTCTGGTCATTCTTCCGGCATTCCAGATTATGCTCAGTAATATTAGCCAGCGCCATAATTCGAATGCCGTCTTCTTTACTCATCTTTCAGCTTTCACATGCCTATGAGGCCATTGAAAAATGCCATGGCTGGGGTCAGGTGCATCTTCTTCCTCAAAGAGGCACCGTGCTCTTCAACACTGGCTCTCAGCGTTTTACTTGTCAGCACTTCTCAGGTCTGTGCTGCCCAGTGCAGGGTGATGTTTGATTTCCTGACATCTGCTTCCGGGAGGGTGATTGTGGATCCCTGTCAAATGAAATCCTTGGCAGCTTCAGTCTGTCCTCTGTTTATCGGGATGTTGCCTGCTGGTCCAGCGGGAGAATCTCGATTTTTCTCTACATTGAGTTGCCATCCTGACTGAATGCTGCAGTCTTGGATCCTCCTTCACTGAGTACTTGTAAACCCTCCTCTTGCTTTCAGGAAGCAAGGTGGTAGTACCTGCGGGACCGCATGTGGTTTATCTGCCTTCCTCCAATCCTGACGCTCGCTGAGTTCTTCCTAGAGTAAGGTGACCAGACATCCCGCTTTTGGCGGGACAGTCCTGATTTATAACAATTTTTCCTGTGTCCCGCAGCGTTTTAAAAAAGTCCCGATTTTTGGAAAGAATGCATGACAAGCGAGGGTATATGGTTTTCGGCTGCCATGTGGCTATTTGGCCAGGATATGAGTTTTATCTATGGTGTCCCGCTTTACCAATGTTAAAATCTGGTCACCTTATCCTAGAGTCCAGTTTCCCTGACAGTTTGCTCCGCATACAGATTAAAGATGGTGAAAAGACACAATTGGACCCCTTAAACCATAGCCCTCCCCAAACTTACTGTTCAGAATTTAAGCTCTACCACAGTGGAAAACTGGAATGGAAAAGAATGGAATCTTTGCATGAACTTTTTCAGGTGCCCTCATATTGTCGGTGGCTGCTTTCACACAGTGCAGGTGTTGAGTTGCCACAGAGCTCAAACGGCCTCAAATATTTGTGGATACGGGGGCGGGGAAAGCCCAAGCCTGGTCTTCTTGTCTTTTGGGTGGGGGTGGGTTTTCTTCAAAGTTCTCTGTGTCTTTCATTTTTCAACAGTTTGCTCATGTGTCCAGGCATGAATTTCCTCGGCTTTAACCTGTTTAGGGTTTGCTGTGAGGGTAAGCCATTCACCAAACTTGGGAAGTTTTCAGCCATTGTGTCTGCTGGGATTCTGATGACGGGGATGAATGGTCGTGATTGTCCCCAGGCCCTGAGACACGATTCTCCCCTCCTCCCTGCCTGGTGTTCAGAGGAGATACTTTCTGTTGATCTCTCTTCAAGTTCAGGAGCCTGCAGCCTTTCCTCTGCTGTCTCCATCCAACTGTTGCATCTGCCAGCCAGTCCCCCACACCTCAGTTAGTGTGGATTTAATAGAGTGTACTTCGAACATTTCCATTTGATTCTTCTTTAAATCTTCAGTTTCTTTTCTAGACACTTCATGTTTTTTTATTGTAGTGAAAATAAGCACAACAAAAGTTCTACATATATAGTGTAATTAGACATTGTGATGTATAGGTTACATTCTTTCAGCGGTGCAACCATTCTGATCGCCCTGTTCCCAATGGTTCTACTACTATTGGCATAAACTCACATCTCTTGAGCTCTCCTCCCTCTGTCCAACCCCTGTTAATCACTAATCATATTTGCCTGTTTCAGATAGGTGAGATCATACTGTATTTGCCCCTTTGTAATGGATTTCTTTTGCTCAGCATGCTATTTTCAGTCATTATACGTGCAGATTGTAGGCACTGGAATTGCCATGAATTCCTTGAATATGCTGGTCGTCTAGGTGATCCTGAACATACTTCTGTTAATTGTTATTCCATGATTAATCTAGATATGAAAACAAACCTAAGGGAGATGGTCATGAAGAATCTAGAGATCTGCAGGGATTCTTCCACCCTGCTTTAGAAAAAATGATAACTAGAATAACAAAAATAGAAAATAAATATAAGTACGATACCTTATTAAAAAGTACTATGATTTCTGTGTCGTGTCTGTCTATCATGTATAATTTGTGTTGCCTCGTCAGAGATCAAGGCTGGGGAAGAAGGAGCAAGCTTTCAAATATCTTTTTTTCTTTGTAATTACAGGGTTGTAATAAGTGTAATTACCCTTATTTTTTATTCTCTAGGGTCTTGATTTTACTTGCTTTTTTCCCCCTTTGGTGTATATTTTTATATTTAAAGTACTTTCCTTTGGGGGATGAAAACCTCAAAGCTAGTACAGCAGAGTATTGTCAGAGATGGTGCCAGAAAATGAGACTTTTCCTTTCCTAACCATGTGAACTTTGTCCTTGAGTAAATGCTCCCCTTTCGATCTTAGGGAGTGGGCTCTTTTTAACAAGGAGGTGTTTAGTCCAAGAAGTGGAAGGTGAGGGCCACAGTCTTGTGGGTCCCATCATGTGTCAGACCGGTGAACCTGAGTTCAGTTCCATGTGATTCTCCCACTCTATCCAGGCCCTTCTCATGGGATCCTTTCCAGAGCAGTTGGTAGTGGTATCCAGGCATCAGCTAGTTCTTCTGGTCTTGGGTTGTGGAGACTGGTGTTTATGTGGTCCATTAATCCATTGAAATAAAAATTGCCACACATTTTTTTATCAGTAGGGTCCATGTGATAGGCTATTTGTGTGGCATTTTCTTAGGCATAGAGATTTAAAATTGTACATCTATAAGCAACAGTTACAGAAGAAGTATGGTGAAAGGGTTGGGTTTATATTTTGGCACTTACCAGTTAGGGACCTTGGGACAATTTGGGTTCTTTTCTAGGCATTTTTGTGTCAACCTGACATTTTATGTCAACCTGACATTTTATGTCAATTCTGACTCATAGCAACCCTATGTATAGGGTTCCCGAGGCTGTAAATCTTGACAGGTACAGACAGCCTTATCTGTCTCCTATGGAGCAGCTAGTTGATTTGAACTATCAACCTTGAGGTTAGCAGTCCAGTGCTTACCTGGCATCACCATTATAGGTCTGTAATAATAGCAACACATGGGGGTTATTGTGAGGATTAAATGAGGTAATGAATGGAAAGAGTCAGACAAAATGACTGACATTTACTAAGTGTGTCAGTATAAACTACCATATAATAGAATTGTTATAGTTAGGAGCTATTGGATTTGAGAATGAATAATTTTTAATGTAGGCTATTCTAGTCTTCGCTATAAAATAGAAGATTTAACTAGTATGTACAGCATCTTTCATGCATGTTAGCTGATTTTTATGTTCTTCATTGCAATCTTTCAAAATATTTATTTTCTAAATTATATTTAATAACATGTTTATCCACGCAAAATACTAGTGATACGGCAAACCCTGCCCCAACTAATCCAGACGAGAAAGAATTGAAGCTAGAATTAAGACAAAGTTCTCTATTTTTTGGCACTGGACGCATGTGTATTTGGTTAGTTCGGTGTTGGCTTTTTAATGTTTTTCACTGCCATCGAGTCGATGCTGACTTGTAGCAGCCGTATGGGATAGGGTAGACCCTCCCTGTGGGTTGCTGAGACTGTAACTTTTTATGGGAGTACAAAGCCCACTCTTAGATTGGCTGGTAGTTTTAAGCTGCTGACCTTGAGGATTACAGCCCAATTCATAACCACTGTGCCATCAGCCTCCTCCCCTACCCCCCTTTAATGTTTAGGAGCTCTCAAATACAGGGATGATGGGTTATCAAGCGTTTTCCTTCTTTACTGATGCCATCTTTATACCTGCATATGCTAGTTGATTTCCTCTATCTTCACAGCAGAACAATAAGCACTCGGTTGAACTGTTAAATTATACAGTGCTTTATTGCATCTTTGTTTGTTTCTAGGATGATTGAGGAAAGTGGGAATAAGCGGAAGACCATGGCCGAGAAGAGGCAGCTGTTCATAGAAATGCGTGAGTCTTGGGTGCTTCTGGGTCCCTTGGTGGTTTATGCATGATTTTTTTTCCTGATTGTGTTAGTCTGGGTAACTAGAGAAACAAATTCATAAACCTGCATATGTGTACAGTATACGAAACAGGTTTATATACAAGAGTAATCGAATATGAGAAAACATTCCAGCCCAGTCGAGATCAAGTTTATAAGTCTGATATTAGCCCACATGTCCTATACCTATCTATAAAGTCCTCTTCAGACTCACGAAACACATGCAATGATACCCAAATGCAGGGAGATCACGGGCCAGTGGGTGGAAACTCATGCGGATCCAGTGGTGGTAGAAGCATCTCAGCGCTGGCAGGGGTCTCCACATGACTTCTCCAGTTCCCAGGGCATGGGGTCTATCAGTGTAGTGTCATGCGTTTTGTTAGTAGAGCATCTCCAAGGGAGTGAGCAGAGAGAGAGAGTGTCTCTCCCGACTCCATGGAGGAAATCCAGGAATTCCCAGAATTCTCAGCGGAAGGCGATGCCCACACAGAGGCCTCATTGGCTATAACCCGATTGACAGACTAGACTCCACCCCTCCACTCTTAATCCTCTCAAGTCCCAAATTGATACCAGAGTACGTAACTACCACACTGATCAAGTAAAAGCTTTAGTCAATTAAAATTTTTAGATTTTACGCTTTAGAAAGGGAGGAATAAGAGTTAAAGAATCACAGAGCTGCAGAATCCCAAGCCAGAGCACATATTTTAGTTGAATTGACTTGACATTGCTTTCTTAAGTGGAGCCATAAATAATGCATAAATATCACCTAGAAAATCTGTGCTTTCGGTCTGTCTGCCATTTTGGGTTCCCTTGCTGTACCTCCATTATTACCATGACCGTGCAGGTGATAATAAACAATTAACTTACTGTATAAATGACACTGGAGACAGGTTATAAATTAGAGAGGAGAACACTTAGGACTGTAGGAAAAACTAAAAAAATTGAATGTATACTTTGTTAAATTGCTTCTATACAATTTTGTCATCCTCTAAAAATTATATTTGTATATAAAACGCAAAGAGAGAAGATGGTCAAGGACTATGGCATGGTCCCCAAGTATTTGAAGTATTCTTTTGCTCTGTGACTGCTAGCCCTAGTCACCTTGACCAACCTTGAGTTCCTTGCTTATACTTAAAACAAAAACAAAAACAAAAAAAACAGAATAAAAACTAAATCCACTGCCAGCCAGTTGTGTTGGACTCATAATGATCCTATAAGACAAAGTAGAACTGCCCCTGCTGCCCCTTTGGGTTTCAGAGGCTGTAAATCTCTGTTGGATCAGAGAGCCTCATCTTTCTCCGGTGGAGCTTCTGGTGAGTTCAGACTGCCCACCTTGTGAGCCCAGCACCACCAGGGGACTCTTGCTTAAGCTTACTAGATCTCAAAACTCCTTCACCGTGACGCATGGATAATCTGGAGCAGTGATTGTGAACCTTTTTTTTTTTTCACCCTCCTTCCACCCTCGATTGTGAACCTTTAATAAGCATTGTCTTTTTTTCCCCTCTCAAATAAATTGTTAAAGTGACAGTCATGGGTATTATTTAATAGGTACTGCTTGCTGGAAGCAGAGAAGTAGCAGGAACCCATGCTGAGGCACTTGCAGAATTGTCGACTTCTGCCTATCACAGAATGAAAATCAATGGACAGAATCTCAGAAGACCCTTTCAAGTCTCACAGTTCAAGTCTAGAACCTGTGAACTAGGTAGAATTGGACATAACTAAGATCTGTTTGTCCTATCAGCATAGGCTAGATAGCAACTTGTTATCTAGGTGCCAGAGCAAAAAAGTAGTCCTTAAGAACTTGTATAGTTGTAAGTCTCTCGTGGTTAGTCATCCAAGCCAGAAATCTTGGGGGATCGTTCCCTCTACTTTCTTTCACCTTGCCTTTCACATCCAAAGAACTCACAGGGTGCAATTAAGTTCGCATCCTAAGTGAGCCATGAATCTGCCTGTTGCACGTACCATGATGTCTGTTCCTCCGACTTGACTTTAAACCTTGACACTGCAGTCAGTCTGCCTGGATTGGGTCTTGGGTCTTGTTTCCCTCACTTACTGGCTGTGTAACCTTCACAAATTACTTAATCTCCTTGTGCCTCAGCTTCCTCACCTTTAGAATTTCAGTAGTGTCTATGTCATAGAATTATAGCGAGGTGTCAATGAGATAGTATGAGGAAACCACCTCGGACAGTGCTTGGGATCTAAGAATACCAAACCAGGTTTCCTGCCCGTGGGCCACTGGATCAAGGCAACCCTAGACTGCCCCCTGAGTTTCCAAGACCGTAAATCTTTACAGGAGTGGAAAGCCTCATCTTTCCTCCAGAGTTTTTGTTGGTTTTGAACTGCCAACGTTATAGTTAGCAGCCCAATGAGTAATCCTCTATGCCACCAGAGCTCCCAGGGATACAAGAATAATAAGGACTTAATATGGTTTAGCTGGTTTGTTCTTAAGTTTTTGGTGGTGTTTCGTTTTTACTTACCTAAATGAAGACAACCGATTTCTGTTCCCTTCAGTCACTCTTAACTCTCTCAGATCTGCTGTCTACTATGCTGTCAGAATGAAATACACAAATTCATTACTTCTTTGTTTAAACCACTTCAGTTGTTCCTTGTTACTTTCACAGTACAGCCCAAGCTCCTTAGCGTGCTACACAGGGCCCTTCTGGCCTTGTTTTGGCTTGCTGCAAGTTCCCAATTTTTATCTCGTGTTTCTGTGTCAATATGAAATTGGCTTTCCTCCAGGTAGATCATGTTATTTCATGCTTTTACACCTGTGCTAATGCTATTGCCTCCACTTCAGTCTGGCTAATGTCTGCTATTCTTCCAAGACCAAGCTGAGAGGTCATCTTTCCATTCCGTTGTGAACACTTTGATTGAGACTGTGCTGTGTAGAACTTCCAGGCACTATTTTTTAGGCTATCGGGGACTACACAACAGCCCCTGGCTTCTTTCATGATGCTTATACTTTAGTAAGAGGAGCTGGGAAGTGAAGTAAAGGAACATTTTTGTTTATTAGTTGCAGGCTTAGGGAATGTAATCACTCTAACAGACAAACAACAGCAGGCAAGTTACTATTTCCAGTAACAAATGCAGTGGTGCAGACAGATTGGGAGATGTTTGGTACAGGCGCTTTCTCAAATCCCTCGACGTATCTTCCTGGAAAATGAAATTGCATTGGTGCTAATGGTATCTGTCTCTGGATGTGGAAGGCACCCAGAATAGCGAAAACTGTTGTAGAACTTAAGGCCCAGTTGGAAGACTCATATGTTTTGCTTTTAAAACTTCGTATAAAACTACAGTAATCAGGACTCTGTGGTATTAGCATAGCATAGACGTACAAATCAAAGAAATGGACTGGGAGCCCTGAAATAAATTCATACTTTTGTGATCAATTGTTGTTTGACAAGGGTACCAAGACAACCCAATGGAACATGCTCTTTTCAACAAATGGTCCTGGGACAGTCTCATATCTATCCACATGTCAAAAGATGTGTAACCCCTACCTTCTAAAACAAACAAAACCTCCCAAACTCATTGGCTTTGAACTGATTCTGACTCACAGCAAACCTGTAGGACAGAGTAAAACTGCCATGTGGGTTTCTGAGCTTGTGTAAATCTCTATGGGAGCAGAAAGCCTCTTCGTTTCCCTTAGAGGGATTGCTGGGTTCGAACTGCTGATCTTGTGGTTAACAGTCCAACACATAATCCGCTATGCCAGCACGGCTCCACCATATAAAACACTGGATCAGTGACTTAGTGCAAGAACTGAAGCTATAGAACTTTCAGAAGAAAACCAGAGGAGTAATATTTTGTGATTATGGATTAGAAAGAACCTTTTTAGTGATGAGTGAAAAGCACAAGCACCAAGACAAATATATAAATTGGATTTCATCAAAATTAAAAACGTGCTTCAAAAGGATGTCATTATAAAAGTGAAAAAAATCACAGTGGGAGAAAGAATTTTTCAAATGATGTATCTGACATGATACTATCATCTAGAAAATATAAATAACTCACACTTAGTCCAATTTAAATTATGGACAAAGGAACTGCTAGTTTCCTTAAAAACATTCTGAAACTGATGGTGCTGATTCACACCTCTGTGAATATACTTTAAATGGGCTAATTGTGTGGTATGGAGATCATATTTCAGTAAAGCTGTTTTATTGTTTTTTAAAAATGAGCCTATATGACCTAAGTAAACATGGATAGAAATTTCATGAGAACAGGATGATAGAAGAAAGATTTTAATTATGACCTCAAGGTAAAAGTTGACTTCTGGCCAGAATGCATTACTTTTAGCAAAAGCCTGGAAGAATTCCATTTTCTTTCTACATTTTGAAACGGACAGAACTGATATCCAAAAATCCCACCTACATCAGAGTGACCGGTAGATCCAAACTGCCGATCTTGTGGTTAACACCTGCACGCGTAACCCACTGTGCTCCTTAGATGCCTGTGAATATTGGTAGAAAAGAATTTGTGCCAGATGATTTTCCATTTAGAGTCAGAAGTTGCACCCAGATATAAAAGTAGTGTAGATGAATTTTAAAAACCCCTCAAACCCTCACATTAGGGGCCAAAGCTATCTAACGTGCCCTTTGGATTCCAGGAGGCCTCATTTGCAGCAAATTTTGATACGAGACAGCAGCTTGATTTATAGGCTCCTGTAATTTTAGACCTTGTTTTAGTTACGGTGGCTGCATAGCACTTACCCTGAAGCAATCTCAGCAGTCATTTATTTTGTTCATCCATGTTGTGAGCCTGGGGTTAGAGCAGCATCTGAATTTAGACAGCTTGGCCCTGTATCATGACGTCTGGGGTCTTGGATGGAAGGCTCAAAGGCTGGGATCATCAGAAGGCTCGCTCACCTTTCCACCTTTGATCCTGACTTTCTCCATAAAAGCCTCGCCCCAGGTCCCTTTCCATGGGCTAGTTTGAATGTCCTTCCTCTCTGGTATCTGGGTTCCAAGGTCAACATCCTGACAGAGTGAGGGCAGGTCACTTGTCTTCTGAAGCTCTGCAGCGCCACCTCTGTTAGATCCTGCTCATTGAGGCCGTCATTGTGTCCTGCCTCGGTTGAAGAGGACCTAGTCTCCAGCTCTCGATGAAGAGGGGCAAGATGCTCCAGAAAAAACAAACTCACTGCCAGTCGAGTTGGTGCCAACTCACAGCGACCCTATCAGACAGGGTAGAACTTCCCCATGTGAGTTTCCAAGACTGTATCTCTTCACAGGAGTAGATAGTCTCATTGTTCTCCTGAGGAGGAGCTGGTGCTTTCAAACTGCTGACCTGGCCACCAGGGTACTAGACACTTATACTGGTGTACTGCTACAGCCACAGTTAGAGAAATACAGGCTGCCACAGACCTGCAAGGAGCTATTAGAGCTCCAGTAGGCCAGTTATCCCTTTTATAGATGAGGACGCTGCGGCTGAGCTCTATGTAACATGGCCTATGGTTGGTGATCAGGCTGGTGCTTGAATTTAGCATAACTCCAGGCGAGAGTCTTTGCCACTATACCCCTTCCCTTTCTGATGGGAGAACATTCATTTATTCAGGCCCTGAGTGTACCTTCTTCAGAGTTGTTGTAGGCTAGCGGACAAGATAAAGCTATGCTTGGCCATCTGGGGGTCTTAAAGGCTTGAAGATAAACAAGCGGCCAGCTAGCTGAGAGTCAACCAAGCCCACATGGAGGAAGCACACCAGCCTGTTTGATCATGAGGTGCCAAAGGGATCAGGGATCAGACATCAAAGACCCAGTACAAAAATCATGTCATTGTGAATGAGCGGGAGTGTGGAGTGGAGACCCTAAGCCCATCTGTAGACAATTGGACATCCCCTTACAGAAGGGTCACTAGCCAGTCAGGAAGCCCATCTGTAGACAATTGGACATCCCCTTACAGAAGGGTCACTAGCCAGTCAGGGTGCAGTATAGCACCGATGAAACATACAACCTTCCTCTAGTTGAGTTCTTTAATGCTTCCTCCCCACCACTATCATGACCCCAATTCTACCTTACAAATCCAACTAGACCAGCATGTACACGGGTACAGATAAGAGATGGAAACACAGAGAATCCAGGACAGATAACCCCCTCAGGACCAATAATGATAGTAGTGATACCAGGAGGGTAAGGGTAAGGCAGGGGAGCAAGGGGGTACTGATCACAATGATCCACATATAACCCCCTCCCTGGGGGACGGACAACAGAAAATGGGTGAAGGGAGACATTGGTCAAAGACATGAAAAAATAATAATTTATAAATTATCAAGGGTTCATGAGGGAGAGCATGGGGGAGGGAGGGGAAAATTGAGTAGCTGATACCAAGGGCTCAAGTAGAAAGAAAATGTTTTGAAAATGATGATGACAACATATGTACAAATGTGCTTGACACAATGGATGTGTGTATGGATTGTGATAAGAGCTGTATGAATCCTCAATAAAATGATTAAAACAAAAACAAACGATGCTTGGCATGTTGTGGGCATGCCAAGCATGCCCTAACCTTTACTTGCCCCTTTTTTGTTTCATCAGCCTAGCTGATATTATATACGGCAACAGCAATAATGGGATGGAGTAACTTCTTAGTGTTGAGAAACTGCACAATAAATCCAGCTGAACATTACGTATTTGCCCTTTTTTTCAGGTGCTCAGAATTTTGATGTCATACGACTTTCAACCTACAGAACAGCTTGCAAATTACGATTTGTACAAAAACGATGCAACCGTAAGTGATTTCCAGTCAATTCTCAGTAATACAAGATAAAAGATTTTAATGTTGATTATAGTACAATGCTAATTGGATTGTTGTTGTCTTTTTTGGAATTTGTCAGGATATAATAAGTAAAAGTATCATAAACGTTTTAATGAAAGAGGTTTGTCACTTTTCTCCTTGTACCTCTCAAAATGTTTTAACAATCTACATCAAGTGGGAACTCGGTAATGTCACTTGTTTTAAGGCTGGCATGGTGTTAAGTATTTAAACGAGAGATCTGATTTCTACTTGTCACTTTAATGAATCAAATGTGTTATACAAAATCAATGTGTAAACAAGCGGCCATCAAGCTTAGAAGCAACACAGCCCACATGGAAGAAGCACACCAGCCTGTGTGATCATGAGGTGCCGAAGGGATCAGTTATCAGGCATCAAAGAACAAAGAATCATATCATTGTGAATGAGGGAGAGTGCAGAGTGGAGACTCAAAGCCCATCTGTAGGCAACTGGGCATCCCCTTAAAGAAGGGTGCGTGGAGGAAACGAGCCAGTGAGGATGCAGTGTAGCAACGATGAAACATACAACTTTCCTCTAGTTCCTAAATGCTTCCTTCCCACCCACCCCAGCCCCCCAACTATCATGATCCCAATTCTACCTTACAAATCTGGCCAGAGCAGAGGATGTCCACGGGTACAGACAGGAACTGGAAACACAGGGAATCCAGGACGGATGATCCCTTCAGGACCAGTGGTGAGAGTGGTGATACTGGGAGGGGAC